GGGAGCTGGGGCTTAGGTAGGGATGCAAATTCTCAGCAGGATCCCCCTCCCCAACTACTGACTCAGAAACTCTGGGGGGGCAGGGCGCGGCTCAGCCATCTGTATCTGATCAACAAGCCCGGGATGCCCACCGGAGTCCAAAAACTGCTCACTCACACCCCTCATGTCCCATCCCCTCCTCTGGCCCATGCCGGCACCTACCCCATTGCCCCCTTGTAGCCGCTCCTGCCAAGGTCAGCAGCAGTCTCTGGATGATGAGCCAGGGGGACCAAGGTCAGCCCCTCACAGCCTCTGGGCAGCACTGGACCTATCTCTTCCCTCCCGAACCACTGTGTCTGTGAGTCCAGGCCCCCTAGGAGCCCTTTTGTGTTCTGCTCTGCAGCCTGTCCAGTTCCTCTAGCACCCAAAGTATTGCCTCCTACCCCCTCCCGGTTCCCCAGAATTTGGTGACCATGACTGCGGCTAACCTGGATCTCTCCAAGGCCCCAAGCTATAGAAGCTGCGGATGTTCTGATGACCCTAGATTCCAATGAGCCGAGCAGGTCACCCTTTACCCATGTCATACTCCTTACAGACTCATCCTGAGTGGCTTTCTGTTTGAGGATGTGCATGCTGCGCTGTGCCTTCTTCTGAGCCTTGCCACTGCCACCCACTCAGCCTGAGCCCTCAGCTCACAGAGGCTCCTTGGACACCCCCAAATATGGATTGGATGCCTCTGCCCAGTACCCTCCAACAGGGCACAGGGCTCCCCTCAGAGTACTTATGACTCCCTTCACAGTTTCCATTGATAATACTGATTTGAGTGATTTTTATCATAAAGAGGAAAAGAAATCACTTCTGAAAGGCAGAATTCTCCACTCCGCTTTTTACAAAATTCAAGAGTAATTCAATTATTATAAGTTTAGAAATAAGATTTCAGTCACGCTTTGCCTCTCCACTAATGAATCCTGCCCCCATGCAAACCCCAGGCAGCTCCCACATGTCTGCTTCTACTGTGGACAGAAAAAAGGCCAAGAGTCCTTGGCCGAGTCCATCTGCTGTCTGCAGCCTGATAAGCTGGTCCAGGACGTTTCAGGGCAAGAGTAGGCAGAGAAGAAGGCCCAGAGGCTCAGGTGGCCAGCACCAGGGTGGGCTGGGGCGGGCCTGAGCAGTCCCACCCAGGTGACCCTCAAGGAGAATCCTTCTTGTAAAAAACGTGTGGCCAACGTCCCACTAGGCACAGAGGTAGGCACCTCTTGCCTTTTCTTCCTGTCCCACAACCATCCGGCCTGCAGAATGTGATTTCCATTGTGGATGGGATTGTCTCCAGAGGCTTGTGGAAGCTGAGTCTGAAAAGCCATTGTGCAAAACCACTTCTCCACCCACAGAGGTCCCTTAGGGCCAGGAGCTCCTTGGTGGGTGGCCAGGAAAAGGACGGGCACTGCCTCCTGGCCTTCTCACCATGTGGACCCGAGATCTCAAAGGGGCAGCGAGGACATCAGAAGGTCTGGGCCAGGTCTGAGGCCTGCACCCCTTCCTAGCAGGTGACTTGGGACGCCTATCCGAAGGTTCCATGCTGCTGAGAAGCCCAAAGGGATGTGGGTCCAGATGGGCTCGGGAGAGACAGCAGTGCCCTTTGGATGCTCCTGGTCCTGGTTTTGCAGACTCTGCTCTGCCTAGGGCTCAGCGCCCAGAACTGGCTGCAGCCCTCATTCCTGGCAGGAATTCTTAGCTCCCCTGCATGTGCCCCTTCTCTGCTTGACTGCTGTGCTCCCCACATGTGCCCCAGCCCTGCGGCCTCACCGCAACCTGTCCTGCACTTGGGTGCTGCGTGAACTTTTGAGTGTTCACACCTCTCTGCCCTGGCTTGTGGCCTTTGATATTCAGGAGTGACAACTGTGATGTTGACAACGAAGATGACAATACCATAAAAAGGGCAACTGATGTTTGCTGAATCAGAACCTACTGTGTGTCAAGTACTGTGCTGGGTCCATTCCACACATCCCATTCCATCCTGTGTGTTGGTACTATTATGATCCCCATTTTACAGATGAGGAAACCGAGAATTCACCAACGTATCCCCAGTGCGTGCCCACTGTGGGTCAGGCACCCCGAGGCTGTGGGAGTGCCTGGCTCACCTGGCTCAGAGGAAGCCGGCTACACCCACCTGGTGGCTCAGGCACTTCCCTGGCCTATGGCTGCCCAGCCTCATGCAGGACCAGGGATCCAGGACTGCTCTCTCACCTCCCCAGTAGACAATGACAGAGGCATGTCGCTGAAGCAGGCCAGAGTCCCCCCGGTACTCGGTTCACAGCCTGAGCTCTATCCTTGAGGGTCTCTGCTCATGGCTTTGAACCTGTACCAACCAGCTCCTTCTGCTCTGTGTCCCCAGACACACCTGCTAGCCATCAGCTCAGGTGCATCTGAGAGAAGCCAAGGGAGAGAAGCACAAATATTGGGACTGGCATCTTAGGGCCTGGGGTGGGATCTCTGCAGGTTCTACTCTCTGAGCCTGCTGCCTCCTCTCCACAAGACCAGAGAAAGAAATACAAATGCAAGGAGTGTGCCTAAGTACAGGAAACTGGCTTGTCTGGCGCCCGGGTCTCACCTGGCTGGTAGTGGTTGGGCCCACCACGGCCTCGTAGGGTGGGGGGAGTTCGGCAGGGTAGAGCAGGCCAGGACTGTTGATGGCAACATCATACAAAGTGCTGAATGGAGAGGGAGCAAAGTCCAAGTGGAGGCCCCTGAAAAGGGAGAACCATCGCATTGTCACTCCTGGGGTGGGGGAGGGGAGCCTGAACTGCTGACCTTTCTCTTAAAGGCGATCAGAACGTCATTTGTCAGGGTTTCCCCTGGTCAAATACTCATTGTGTTTGTGAAATAAAAGGCTCATTCGCTAGGCAGTTTTACCTTCTTTTGTTTTTTGTTTTTTTCTGGAGAGATGTCGACATTTTCACTAAATTCTATGGCCCTGTCCATTAAAATTAAAATAATCATAGAGCCGATTAAATCTTTAATTAAATTTTACGGTCATGTTAATGACCATAACTCAGTGGCAGTTTTGCGTTTCATGAGAACATAATGGAGCCACTCTTGTGGTTTGCTTTTGTTGTTGCACGGCGGCAATACCAAGAGAAATGTTCTTTCTCTAAGCCAATGTTCTCTTTTCACTGTTCACGCTCTACTCTCTAATCAAACATGCTCTCATATGTTCGCTCTCCTCCGCTCAGCTGCCCCACTGAAAACGAGCGTGGCCGTTGCAAGTTCCACCTCCCCCACTGCTCCTATCTTCCTGGTGTCCATGCCAGTCACTGCCACCATCACCAGAAAAGACCCACCTGTGGGCCTCGGCTGTGGGCGTGCAGGTGTACTCTGGTGGGTAATAGGGTGGAGGTGGGAGTGGGGGGATGAATTCATCGAAATCCAGGGTCTGGTGGAGCACAGTGCCATGGGGGGTCACGCAGGCTGGGCTCGCAGAATGCGCCCTTTGTGGAAGGAACTGGAAAACAGAGATTCAGAGTTATTTGGGACATCTTGTGTGGCTTGTGTCTAATTAAGCTAATTACACATAAGCTTTAATGATCCATTTGGAACTTATGTAATTTAAACTGTCGGACTGTGACAGCAAAACACACACTTCAAGATGATGGCTCCATGAGGAATGCCTTGCCCCCAAAGCTTCTTCGTTAGGCTTTGTTTCTCACACTGCTACGCAGAATGCCTCCATCCTAAGGAGAAATAAAGTCTGGGAAGTCTTTAGTTCTATCCCCACCCCTAAATCTTTCTCTTCAGATTATACTACTCAAAGCCTGTGGGTCAAAAGGGTGCCTGATGTCCATGATTTAAGACTGCATTTCTGGAAGTATGTTCATGAGAAAACACCAGACCCTCAAGATGTTCCTCTCTACCCCCTCCCAAATTCCTACAGGGAAATAAATTTGGGAAATGCTACCTATTGTACTCCCTTCTTGGAGCCCTGTAATGCATGTTTGTGTGTTAAAATTCCTGAGAAGGTCTGCACCAAAAAAAAAAAAGTTTAATCCGTTAATGGAACATTTCTCATATATTTCATTATAGGTCCCTTTGGACAAATAGTATCTATACTTCTCAGTCCTAGGAAATTCATAAACTTTGTAAAACACTGCTCTGAGGGAAAAGAATCATGAGCGCCAGAACATTCTGTGGGGCAACCTTAAAACCGAGATGCTGCTTGAGCAAACTGAGGTAAAATCGTTTAAACAAAAAGAACTCTGCCTCTGCCTAGCTTTCCATTTCTGCCCATAGGGAGCACTGGCCAATAACTTCCCATCCTCTGGTCACTGCTCCCCAGAGGTTACCTGTGGCATGGAGATGTCTAAGCCATTGCTCCAGTTCCAATCAACACCTCACTGTGAGTGCCTGCAGGTGCAAGAAGAGTGTGCTACTCGAATGCTATGGTCTGGGATGCCCCACCGCATGAAGGGTGAGACAATCAACTATATACAGCAAAGCAAGGACAGTTCCACTAGTAAACAATCTCTCCAAGCACTGTGCAGGGACCTGGAGTCTACAAAGGGTTAATGAAGATGACATCTGAATGGGTCTGAAGATTGGTAGGTAGGCTTGCAAGAAGGTGCTCCAGGCTCAAGAAGAACAGGTGAGCTAGTGAAAGATGTGTTTAAGAAAAGCCAATTTATATAATACTCTAGAAGTTAATTCTTAATTCTGGAGGCACTGGGGAGCTAGTGAGGGTGTTAGAGCTGGGAAGCAGTGCTATTAAAGATGTGTGGTAGGACGTACCTTCTGGCAGCTGTGCTTAGGGTAATCTGGACTTGATAAGAGGCTGGGATGGTAGGACATTTTTGCATGAGTAAGGGTGAGGTCACGATTCTGAATATGGTCAAATGCCACGAAATCAGCATGCTCTAGACTCACAGAGAAAGAATAGTGACCATGTCTACACATGTAACACATCAGACTGAAATTGTCTCATGTGGGTTTTCTTAACACACAGAGCACGTTCCTTGCCTTTCCAGTAGGTCTGAGCCATGGCTTTGTTTAATTGTCTGAAATAGAGGTGAGTCAGTGGCTATGAGGAGGTCGAATGTGTGTCTGTCATCCTCTGCCTTGGAAAGCTGTCAGCCCCGATGCGTATTGCACAAAGCTAAGCAGTTAGGACAAGGCCAGATGTCCTTGAGGTCTAATAGGGACATATTTTGAATGAGTCTCTATCGGAAATTAGAAAAATCAATAACACACTCAAGCATGAAATGCAAAAGTCAAAATGCTTTTCTAGTAAATGTACAATCCCCCCAGGAACGGGAACAACAAGCATTTTCACTCCAGATGATCCTATTAGCAGGTTTAAATGCATAGATGCTGCCACACACCAGAGGTTTTTAAAAGGCTAAATGACAGCTTTAACCACTTCTGCTCTAAATGCCAGATCACCTTTCCAGTGGTGTGTTGGGTCCATCTTTAGGGAAGCAAGTCAGACTCAACTTGTTGCAAACTGAGCTTTATACCTAGGTTCCTCAGCCTTCCCAGGCAGAAGCCTGCAAGTGACACTTGACATACACCCTCCTCCCCCAATGAGGTGGGGTCTGTCTCCAAGCCCAAGGTCACCTGCTTGGAACTCTGCTCTGAGATGCTAGGGCTGGAAGTCTGCAAACCTTGTTTCCCAGACTCCCTTGTCGGTTGGCTTCCTATTGGGCTCTGCCAACAGGGGGCGCGAGAGGGAGTCTGGAAGAAGAGAGCTACCATTCTGCTCCTTCCCCGCTCCTACTCTTTGTGTTCCACCCTAAGGGGTGGAAGCTGCCTCCATGGTTGCTTATCTCTGTGTCTGTTCTCTCTTCCCAGATCCCCACTTACCTTTCACCTGGCAACCTCCTAGTCATCCTTCAGGACCGGCAGGAATGCCTCTTGGCCAGCCCACACCCCGCCACGCTGCCTGCTCTCACGTCTGCAAATTAGTGGCCAGGCGCAAAGCCTGAGCCTGCATTGGGGTGTGGTGGGTAGAAAACCAGCTCTGAATTGTCTTCTTCCCCAGGTGGACCTCCTTGCTCTGGGCCAGTTTAGTTACGACCATAATTCATGATGAACTATGAATGCAGGCAGGAAAACCTGCTTGTTCTATGAGAACCAAGTTGAATGCTTTGGAAAGACCTGACAAGGGAGAGCAGCTGAGCAGAAAGTTCTGCCAAGCCAGGTCCTGGTAAGGCAGCTATAAGGAGTGGAGATGAGTCATAAAACATCCAGGGGAGCTCTGCATTCTGCTCGCTTTGCATGTCTCACTCCAATTTAAAGGAACTGAATCTGGAAATTACAGATGGTGCAATTTTCAATGAAGTTTATACAAGAAATACAATTCGGTACACTAATACGTAGACCCCCAATCGAACAGAAGGTCTTGGCCCCAAATCAAAACCCTGGTGGACAAATGTTAATTTTCATATTTAAAGTCACAATGTTTCCAGCATATACGTTTCACTGTTAGGACTGTCTGTTGTAACTAGCTTTTTAAGATTAATCAGGGGGCTGCCTGGGTGGCTCAGTCAGTTAAGCATCCATTTGCAATTTTGACTCAGGTAAAGATCTCAAGGTTGTGAGATCCAGCCCTGCGTCAGGCTCCATGCTCAGCGTGGGTCTGCTTAAGACTTTAAAAATAAATAAATAAAATCTAAAAAAAAAGAAAAAAAAATCAGACACCCTTCGGTCCTAGTCTGATAGATAAGTAGCACCTACCCCCCAGAGATATTTCTGGTAAACCCAGACCTCAAGGAAGGTCACTGTGGGTCCAAGGAGGGACCAGCCTCTGTGAGGCGTTGGTAGGAACTGGGGTGAGCTGGAGAGGTGAAGATACTGGTGAACTTGAGTGATTCTGGGAATTCCGGGGTGGCAGGTGTTACAACCATCCCTGACCGTGGCACCCCTTGCTAGCTCCATGGATGAGCCCACCGTTAGCACATCTGTGAAAGGCTCGGCGCTCCGTCTGCACTTTCGGGAGGTGTTCTACTTTACAGGGCACACGACTGGTGTTGAGAACATAAATGACAATAAAAGATGAAGTTCACAAGCAAGTGCCTAATGGAGACACATGTAATAGCAGATGATGTCCCTTAGGCTAAAGTGGCTGGCAATAAAGTTCATGGGAAGGAAAAGAGCTGAATGGAGAAATGGGGAAGATGAGATTATGCTCAAGAAATAAAACTAAAAATGTGAGATCAGAGATACTTTGGAGGTAAAAGCTTTCTCCATTAAACTGTATCAATAAACTGAATTTTATCATCAGTTGCCTTTTGCCACTATTTCCAAAACATATTAGAGTACTCCAGCTGTATAAATTCTGATGCTAGGCATAAAGCTTTGCATCTCATGTATACATGCATTCGTGATATGAATTCCAAAAATGGTTAATTATCCCAAGATGCCGATCCCCAGAAGGAAGGAAGGAATTATGGGTTCCCTCCATGCCAGGCTAAGGCCCTTGCTGTGAGTCAGTCCGTGGTCTGGGGTGCCCCGTGGTCTTTGGTGCATAAATGACACCAAGAGAATTATCTTGCTTCCCGTTTCTGTGTTTTTGGAGCAGAGCTGGAACTTAAAGGTACTTGTGAAACGATGTGTATGCAGACACCTCCTAAATTTTTAAAAATTTGTATCCCAATCCCTTATGATTGTCTCACGCACACCAAAATTGAGAGCAATATATCTAGGCACCCTCTTTCACCGAATCTTTCCAAAGCATTCATTTTTTTTATAATAGAAACAATGATCTTTTTTGCACTCATATTTCTCTGGCTTCTGTAACAGTACAATATGCACTTACAAGGCAAATACCACTGGCCTAAGACTGTTTGGGGGACAGCTACAACTGTCCCTTAGGCAGCTTGTGACCCAACTGCTGGGAGCAGAGATGGCATGTGGGTGAATCACAGAGGAGGCTATGCTGTGGGGAGCAGGCAGCGCATCTTACAGGTGGGATGGAGGACCGTGGCTCTCTAGCCAGTGGGTTCAGCACAGGGGGACTAAGAGAGCTATAACTGTATGCGCAAGGAGCTTACTGTAGCGCTGTCTGCATGGGCCTAACAAAACCAAAATCAAAACCAAGAACGACTCAAGCATCCACACAGAGAAATGGCTGATGGACGTTACATTCACAGTATGGATCAGTGCAGACATGAGACATTTCTGTGTATATTGACCTAGAGGGATGTCCATGATCGTTGCAGGTTATAAAATCAAGTTGCAGAATGATATGAATGGTGTGATCCCATTTGGTTAAAAGGAAGACATAACACGGGGTGCCTGGGTGGTTCAGTTGCTTGAAGTTCAGGTCATGATCCCAGAGTCCTGGGATTGAGTCCCACATCGGGCTCCCCGCTCAGCAGAAAGTCTGCTTCTCCCTCTCCCTCTGCTCATGCTCTCCCTCTCTCAGATAAATAAATAAAATCTTTAAAACCAAAAAGGGAAGACATAGCAGAAGGAAGAAGAGAGGGAAGAATGGAGAGAAGGAAGGAAGGAGGAACAGGGAAAATAGACTATCTGTATGTGTTAATATAAACACTAAGAAATCAAGAAAGAAATGGAAGGAGTCATTGCAAAGTTTCCTCAGGAGAATGAGGAGGGAGAAGGTAGCTTATTAACTTTATCTTTAAATATCTCTGTATTTTACTTGTTTCAGTGATCATATATTACTTCTTTAATTCAACAATCTAATGAAATGAAGTAAGAAAATTAAAGTCAATTACACCTGAAGAAAGCTGGAAAAAAAGAAGAAGACTTTTCTTAAAAATTAAAAAGAGCTTCTGAGGCATGCTCATGAATAAGTTGATTCCAGGTTCCATCCCTCAGGGTGAACCATGAGCCCCTGGGTCTCCCACTTCTCCTTTTCTAGGGTGCAGCCTGTGTGGCCAGCCTCACCCAGCCTCTCACCCATGTGGTAAAAGCCAACCTCCTCCACGTGGGCCACCAGGGTTTTTCAAAGCCCACGCACATGCATTATCTGATTCTTCTCTCAGCGGCCCTGTGAGGATGGTAGAGCATGAACAATCTTGTAAAGAGCAGAGGAAACTGGGACAAATAAGCAGCGATGTGCCTAAGGTCATGCAGGGGTCCCACAAGGTGCCATGGTCATATGCCCCCAGTTCCTTTTTGGCTCCTGAGACGCTGCACGTCAGCAGCACAGCAAGGGACTTATAAGGAGAGTAGAGCCTTGTCTGGTCCCATAGCCCATGGTCACAAAGGGAAATGGACTCGCCAGCAGGAATTTAACCGATTTCTACTTCCACACCAGGGGTTAGAAGCAAACTTATCCACAAATACTCAGCGATGGAAAAACCATGGGTTCTGATGGCGGCTATTGTCATTGTGACCACACCTTACCTCCCTATGGTGTTTTGCAGTTGACAGAGGACATCAAGGACCACGGCATGCTTGGTCATGGCTGCAGGACACTCCCAATCACAAACTAATACTCCCCCTGCATTTAAGAGTCGAATAGGTCACACTTCTTGAATGTTCACCGGGTATGCCATTCGGTCCATTTCGGAGGTGAGGAAACCGAGGCTCAGGTGGGTTCGGTGACACATCCAGAGTCACTCGCTTCATACGCAGAAGAGGTGGGACTCGGATGCAGACACGGCCAATGCCAGGCCCAGGATGGCGGGCCTGCTCGTGTGCCACACAGCGGAATGATAGCGTGAGCCTGCATCGATGTGATCATGACCGCATACACCATCACAGCTACCCTACGCTGTATTCGGGTTTAGTTGCTAATTTTCATTCTAATGCTTCAAACCAGGGAATGCAAACTTTTATATTTATAGCCCCTTGGTTCTGTTAGTTTTGTCAAATTGGTATGATATTTACAGATCAATAGTAAAATCTGCAGAGGTGAGTAGAACCCCACAGTACTTAACCTTTCCTTTATACAACACGCCGGAGAAAATCACCAACATGAGGCCTCAGTGAGTGAGGCCAAAAGTTCATCACTGCTGAATAACTGCTTAATTAAATCCCTTTCAGAAAACTGCCACCTCTCTGAAAGGTCAGCCCCGGCTGTTGACAGCTGTGTAGATATACACTGGGACAAAGAGGCGGGCGTTGCATATGATTAGAACCAATGAATTTTTAACATCTTGGTAATGATGCTCTCTGGCCCTGTAACTTGATGAACTGATGTATTGCCATGGGGTGGATGAGAAAGAGCAAATAAAACAGCCTACTACAGGAATAGCTTGCTTTTGCTTTCATGAGATGCATAAAACATTGAGGGGGAGGCAGGGCAGGTCTCGAAGAAGCAAAAAGAGAGACAGAGACAGAGGCAGAGACAGACAGATACACATGAAGAAGCAAAAAGAGACAGAGACAGACAGACACACACACACACACACACACACACACACACACACACACACACAGATGATTCCTACCCTTAGCATTGGAGAACCATATCTTCCCATCAGTTTCTCTTTATCGTACTGACTTCAGTGGTAACATACTGAACAGTGGGCTGTGTTTCATTCACGTTGAATAATGAAGAGCCTTCATTATTTATTAAGCATGTACTTATAAACGTGTATTAATAAGTGTGTGACCCTTGCTCCTATTCTCATTTCTCCCCCTTGGGAGCGGCAGTTCTTCAACTGTAAGACTCTGGCCTGGGTGCGAGACAGGGGGAGGGGTGATCAAATGATGGCCAGCCAGTGACTCTGCCACTAGATTATGAGCTCAGGGTTAATTAGCAAATCTAAAAAGCACAGATGACCAGTTTTTCAATTTGAAAAGGACTCATTTTCTAAAAAATCTTCCTTTATTAAAAGAGAATTCTGAAGCTGGAGGAAGGCTCCTTGCCCTGGAGGTCCTGGGCCCAGAGGATGTCTAGGGCTATAGGACTGTCACTAAAATTACTCAAGAGCACACACAAGGGGCCCATCTAGAGGGGCATGAGGGTGGCAGGACTCTGTTAACACTCAGCTCCAACAAATACCTGAAATAAATACATTAATGACACCAAATGTACAGGGCAGCATGAGGGGACTGCCAAGCACCATGGACTCTCAGGGCCTATCATCCTTGGGGCTTCTGGTTGGAAGCTAGAAGAGTCCACTCTCCATTAGTTTCAAAGTGGCTGGAGGAGAAAGGGGTCAGGCTCACCATTCTGAGTGTGCTTGGGAAGGCAGGGGCCCACTTACCATCTGCAGGATATCAGAAGAGACCATCTGCATGCAGCACATGGCTGTGGCCAACGCACACACAATGGTGGAGAGGACGTTGAGGGCACACACACTGAAGAGGAGATCCTGTGAGAGAAAAATGCAGCAGAATGTCAGTCTCATCTCGACAACCCGGATGGCAGATCCTTAGCATTTCCATCAAGGTCCAGAACGAGTGTGACCAATTGCCTTCCACTTCATGGAGGGTTTCTTTTGTAGTTTTTTGTTTGTTTGTTTTAATAATCAAAACTGGCGTTTAATATAGACACATTTGTTTATTCTTCTACAGTGCTGATCGAATTATTCTTAGATACTGAATGATGTATTTCACACTTTTGATCACTATTAGGCACTCACTGTCTAAGAAAATCTTGAAATCACTGACATTTAAGTAGGTGGGCATTCTTTATCAATTATAAAATGTAACTGAAAATTTTGAAGACTTTAGTAAAATGCCAAGTTTTTAAATTAAACTTTTTACCTTGAGGTAATGGTAGATTCACAAGCAGGTGTAAGAAATAATACAGAGAAGTCCTGCGGACCCTTTGCCCAGTTTCCTCCATCTTGCAAAACTATAGTGAAATATCACGACCAGGAATGACAGTGATGCAGTCAAGATATAGAACATTTCAATCACCACAAGGATCCCCACCCCACGTTGACCTTTCAGAGACACACATACCTCTCTCCCGCCTGCTCCAGCTCAATCTCCCATTCCCAATCCCTATCAACCATTAGCCTGGTCTCCATTTTAATAATTTTGTCCTTTCAAGAACGGTATACACGTGGTGTCATATACCATTCCAACCTTTCAAAATTGGCTTTTTTCACTCAGCGTGATTCCTTCAAGATTCATCCACACTGTTGCATGTGTCCGCAGATCATTCCTTTTTATTGTTGAGCAGTATTCCATGGTGAATGTACCACAGTTTGCTTAATCAGGCACCAGATGAGAAATATCTGGGTGGTTTTCAGTTTGGGGCTATTATAAATAAAGCTGCCATGAATGTCTGTGTTTGTGTATGGGTCTTTGTGTGAACATAAGTTTTTACTTCCCTGGGAAGAATATCCAAGAGTACAATTGCTGGGTCATATGGTAATTGAATGTTTAGTTTTATAAGAAAACTGCCACATTGTTTTTCAGAGTGGCTGAACCATTTTATGTTCCTACCAGAAATGTATGAATGATCCAGTTTCCCTGCTTCCTTGCCCACATTTGGTATCACTATTTTTATTTTAGCCATTCTGATAGGTATGTAATGATATACCAATATGGTTTTAATTTGCATTTCTTTGATGGCTAGTGCTGCTGAACATCTATTTGTGTGCTCATTTGATCTGTATATCCTCTTTGGCGAAGTGTCTGTTTGTATCTTTTGTCCATTTTCCAATAGAATCGTTCACTTTTTTATGGAATTTTGAGAGTCCTTTATGCATTTTAGATCCTAGTCTTTTGTCAGATGTGTGATTTGCAAATATTTTCCCCAAGTCCATAGCTTGTCTTTTCATCCTCTTCACATAAGTTTTCACAGAGCAAAAGTTTCATGTTCATAAGGTCCAGCTTACCAATTTTTGCTTTTATGGATCATGCTTTGGTGTCAGGATTTTCTCTTATATTTTTTTCTAAAGTTTTTATAGTTTTATATTTTACATTTAAGTGTGTGATTCATTTTGAGGTAATTTTTGAATAAAGTGAGGGTTAAGTTGAGGTTTATTTTTGTGTTTCTAATTTCAATATTGACATGTTCATTGCTAGATATAGAAATGTGGTTTATATTTGCATATTTATCTGGTATCTTATGACCTTGGGATTTAGGTAGACAATAAGGCCATATGCAAATGTTTTATTTCTTCTTTTCCAATCTGTATGCCTTTATTTCGTTTTCTTGCCTTATAGCACTAGCTAGAATTTCAAGTATTATGAATAAGAATAAGATGAATAAGATGGTGAGAGCAGATATCTTTGGCTTGTGCTCTATCTCAGAGGGTACACTTCGTGGAGTTTTAACTGTCCAAGTACAATTCATTCCTCTTTAGGAAACTCACTCTCAAATCCATAAATAGAAAAAAATAACCATGATTCACAAAAATGACCAAAGATTTAGTATACAGGAATACCTTGGAGATATTGGAGGTTGAGTTCCAGATCATTGCAATAAAACAAATATTGCGGTAAAGTGAATCAAATGCATTTTTTTGGTTTCCCAGTGCATACAGAAGTTATGTTTGCACTATACTATAGTTTATTAAGTATGCAATAGCATTATATCTAAAAAAATGTACATACCTTAATTTTAAAATGCTGTATTGCTAAAAAGTGCTAAACATCATCTGTAATGATTTTGTAATCATTTTACTGGTGGAGGGTTTTGCCTCCCTGTTGATGTCTGATCACTAGGGTGATGGTTGCTGAAAGTTGGGGTGGCTGAGGCAATTTCTTAAAATGAGACAACCAAATATGCTGCATTGATTGATTCTTCCTTTCGTGAAAGACTTCTCTGTAGCATGTGATGCTGTTTGACAGCATTTTACCCACAGAACTTCTTTCAAAATTGGAGTCAATCAATCCTCTCAAACTCTGCCACTGCTTTATCAACTAAGTTGATGTACTATTCTAAATCCTTTGTTATCATTTCAACAGTCTTCACAGCATCTTCTCTAGGAGTAGGTTCCATCTCGAGAAATCCTTTCTTTGTTCATCCATAAAAAGCAACTCCTCCTTCATTCAAGTTTTTTCATGAGTGCAGCAATTCAGTCCCATCTTCAGGCTCCACTTCTAATTCTAGTTCTGTGGCTGTTTCTACCACATCTGCAGTTAGTTTCTCCACTAAGGACCTGAACCCCTCGAAGTCATCCAGGAGGGCTAAATCAGTTTCTTCCAAACTCCTGTTTATATTGATATTTTGACTTCTTCTTGTGAGTTATGAATGTTCTTAATGGCATCTAGAATGGTGAATTCTTTACAAGAAGGTTTTCAATCGACTTTGTGCAGATCCATTAGAGGAATCACAATCTATGGCAGCTACATATAAGCTTATGAAATGTATTTTTTTTTTTGACTGTTCTGAAAAATACTTTTTTGTTTTATTTATTTTTTATTGTAATTCTAGTATAGTTAACATACAGTGTTATTAGTTTCAGGTGTACAACACAGTGATTCAACAATTCGATACACCACCCAGTGCTTCTCCCGACAAGTGTCCACCTTAACCCTCATCACCTATTTCACCCATCCTCCCACCCACCACCCCTATGGTAATCATCAGTTTGTTCTCTAGAATTAAGAGTCTGTTTCTTGGTTTGTCTTTCTCTCTCTTTTTCCTTTGCTCATTTGCTTTGTTTCTTAAATTCCACATATGAGTGAAATCACATAGTATTTGTCTTTCTCTGACTGACTCTTTTTGCTTAGCATTATACTCGTTAGCTCCACCCATGCCATCACAAATGGCAAGATTTCATTCTTTTTTACGGCTGAATAATATTCCATTGCAGATACACACACCACATCTTCTTTATCTATTCATCTATCAATGGATATTTGGGCTGCTTCCATAATTTGGCTATTGCAAATAATGCTGCTATAAACATAGGGGTACACATATCCCTTTGTATTAGTGTTTTTGTATTTTTTGGGTAAATACCCAGTAGTGGAATTACTGGATCATTAGGTAGTTCTATTTTTAACCTTATGAGGAACCTCCATACTGTCTTCCAGAGTGGCTGCACCAGTTTGCATTCCCACCAAACGTGCAAGAGGGTTCCTTTTTCTCCACATCCTTGCCAACACTTATTGTTTCTTGTGTTTTTTATTTTAGCCATTCTGACAGGTGTGGGGTGGTACCTCACTGTGGTTTTGATTTGCATGAAATGTATTTCTTAAATAACAAGACTTGAAAGGCAAAATTACTCCTTGACTGTAGGCTGCAGGATAGATGTTGTGTTGACAGGCATGAAAACAACATTAATTTCATTGTACATCTCTATCAGAGTCAGTCTGTCTTTTCAATCTTTGAAGCCAGGCATAGACTTTTTCTCTCTAGCTATAAAAGTCCCAGATGGCATCTTCTTCCACTAGGAAGCTGTTTTGCCTATATTGAAAATCTACTGTTGAGTGTAGCCACCTTCATGAATTATCTGAGCTAGATTTTCTGGATAACTGGCTGCAGCTTCTACATCAGCACTTGCTGCTTCACTTTATACTTTTATGTTATGGAGATGGCTTCTTTCCTTAAACCTCATGAAGCAACTGCTGCTGGCTTCGAACTTTCTTTCTGCAGCTTCCTCACCTCTCTCGACCTTTGCAGAATTGAAGAGTTAGGGCCTGGCTCTGAATTAGGCTTTTGCTTAAGGGAATGTTATGGATGGTTTGCTGGTTTGATCTTCTATCCAGACCTCTGAAACATTCACCATATCAGCAATAAGGCTGTTTTGCTTTCTGATCATTCGTGTGTTCACTGGAGTAGCACTTTTAATTTCTTTCAAGAACTTCTCCTAACTAGTGCAAGAGGCCTAGCTTCTGGCCTATCTCAGCTTTCAACATGCCCTTTTCACTAAGCTTAATCACCTCTAGCTTTTGGGTTAAAGTGAGAGACATGCAACTTTTCCTTTACTTGAACACTTAGAGGCTGTTGTAGGGTTATTAATTGGCCTAATTTTAACATTGTTGTGTCTTGGGAAACAAGGAGGTCCAAGGAGAGAAAGCCAGGGAATGGCTGGTCAGTGGAGCAGTCAGAATACATATAATATTTATCAAATAAGTTCACCCTCTTATATATGGGCATGGTTTGTGATGCCCCCAAACAATCATAATAGTAACATCAGAGATCATTGCTCACAGATCACCATAATAAATACAATAATGATGAAAGTTTGAAAGATTGTGAAGATTGCCAAAATGTGACAGAGACATGAAGTGAGCAAATGCTCTTGGAAAAATGTTGCCAATAGACTAGCTCGATGCAGGGTTGCCACAAACCTTCAATTTGTAAAAAACACAGTATCTGAGAAGTGCAATAAAATGAAGCACAATAAAACAAGGTATGCCTATAATGATATGTCCTCCAATTCAATCTTATTCATACAATCTT